TTCACCCTCTCAGATCTTTCCTTCCCTTTTCAGAAAGAAGTGTGGATGAGCCCCCTCTGTGACACGAGACACTGAAGTGGTTATTGGACTCCTGATACATTTTAATGAGCATCCCCATAATGCTGCTCTCCCTCACATTAATAAACATTAATAACCCCCCTGTCAGAGGGCAACTTCTAGAACCTAATCTCAGCTTCATCTGTCTGCAGTAGCTGATGCCTTTATGAATAGACTCGAGTCTCTCCCTGCCACACGGAAAATGTCTTGCAGGAAAATAAACAAATCTGGATAAGCCACGGCCAGAATTAGCTGGATATCAGTCATGCTTTTCCTCTTATCTTTGCTTCCACGAGATGTCCCTTAAATCACACATCTGCTTCACCTCCCTTCTGGTAAGTTGAGGGATTGAGCTTTGCTTCTGAAGCATTTAAATGTTCCTGTCTGGAGTTCAGTGTCTGTTTGTAGTCCTTTGGTGGTGAAATCCGAAATAGTAGGGGCATAAAGTTGTAAATTCTTTTGTGTCTGAGGTTCCTCTTGGTTCCAGTTGGGAAGGTGTGTTGTGGCAAGGAAGCCACACATCATTCATCTAATTTTCTCTGCAGCTTTTGAACTCTATTGCCTATTTAAATAGTCATGTGGCATTTTAGGCTGTGCTTCTTTCTAGAGCTCTTTGAGTCTTCTTGAAGCAAATGACATACCCAGACCACTCCTTTTCTCAGCAACCTGAAATCATTAACTTTCTGCAGCAGTACAAACTCTTTATATTGATGTTTTTGTAGCCTGATCCTTTTCTCTCCATCTGTAATAAATTCCTGGTACCTTTTCTATATTCAAAGGCTACAATAATTTTCTACTTTCTTCTCTGGAATATTTTCCCCTAACTACAGTTACCTGCAGTGTCATCACATGAATAAATAAAAGATAATTAGTTTTGACTCTACATCTTACTGCTTACCCAGCAGCAGCTGAAAGGTTTTTACAGGGATTTCCTTCCAGATTTAATCCCGACCCTGTAGCCCGGTGGTTTCCCTGCCACACATTCAACTGTTATCCTGTGTCTCCTGCCAACAATTCCATCTGTTTTCAGCTGCAGAGGAACTCCTTGAGGGTCCCCGTGGAGAGCAGAGGACAGAGAAGACAGCCTGGGCATGGGGTGTCAGGAGAACCTCGTGCCTTGTTTCTGTGCCAGGATGGATGAGCTCAAGGAGCAGCGTCAGGGAATTTCGGAGCTTCCATCCTGTTGGCACTGAACAATCCACAGTTTGACTCCTCTCTAAAGTGGAGCAGTGAGGCAACTGAACACCACGGGGAAGTGCTTTAACTCCTAGTGAGAGCAACCTGCAGCACTTTGCTCTTCTGACTCCCAGGCACGGTAACGAGGGGAGATCTGAGGTGCTGTGAAGCTGCTGCAGCGCTGCCATCCTTCATCCCCCTCACCTCCAGAGCTGTGTTCTGGGTGGCCTCTGGCTTCTTTGGTTGCCAGAGGTGCTTTTGCTTGCCTGTGTCACATTAAAGCCATGCAAATAGTTTCTATAGCAACAGGTGTCTTTGCTTAGCTCTGACGCAAAATCCTGAAAGGTCTTTCTCATTCTGTCTTCATCCGATTCTGATTTTTTTTTCCTTTTATCAACTCTTTCCTGTGAAGATAAAGGGCAAAAAAATTAATTCTGCTCTGTTTCAGGAGTTAACTTGCAGCACAGGTGACTGTTCAGTTTGAACAACCCACTGAAGTTTCTATACCAGGAAATGAACTTTGGAGATGAAGGCAAAATCAGCTGGAATAATCTAGGGAGCATCCTGGCTGCCCAAAACGTGAAATCAAGCTGGTGAAGCAGGGTGGGATGAAAGAATGGAGAAAGGGGCATGAGTTTGTCACCAGCTTTGCTTCTGGCTTGCTTAATCTGAGGCTGTTTCCCCTTGTGCCCTCTCAGCTCTGTTAAACTTCCCAGAACATGGGCTGCAACATTAAAGGCTGAGCTTGCCAGGGGCCTGTTTGATGATGTTTGATGCAAAAGGAACGACTTAAAAAAAAAAATAATAAAAGGCAGACAAAGTTACCTAAAATGGTATTGTCTCCCTGCACGAGGTGTTTGAGTCTCTGCCAGAGAAGTCTCTCCTGTGTAATGACTGCAAACAACTGCTGCAGCGGCACACAGGTAGAAACAACTGTGACAAGATGATGTGTTCAACTCCTCTTTTGTCAACACAGGGCTTGGATTCCGAAGGGAGAGGGATGGGGATAGGAAGGCTTCAAGCTCTGCCTATTTTCAGGAGAGGCCTGTGAAGTTTGAGCAGGAGAGGCTGGAGCAGGATGGGGTGAGTGAGGCTCTTGACCCTGTGGCCCTTTGCTCGGGTGGCGGCCTCCAGCCTCACGTTTTGTGTTAGCTTTGTCTCCCTGATCAGCTGGCAGCTGTGGAGGGGTTACTGGAGGGGCTAACACCGAGCTGTGCTCTTCCTTGCTGGGCCCTGGAGCAACCAGGAGGAACTGGTTGCTGACGAAATCGGCACAACTCGCTGCGGGCACAGCTGCAGCCGGGCAGGGATCCTGTGTGACCTGGCTGCTGACATCACGTAAATCTGAGGTGCAAAAATGGCAAGAGCGCTCTAAACAAGAAGCAAGGAACGTCTCACAGCTCTGTGGTTACGTTCTTGACGCACTGATCGGTTTTCTTAGACACCCCTAAAACTCCCTTGGCTGTGAGGGGGGCACTGCCCTCGCTGCTGTGACGCTGGGCTGTAGTTTCAGAGGGGATGTGCAAGAAGGCTGGATGGCCTTTGTGCTCCTGCTCGTTTGTTTTAGCTGTTGGAAGGATGCATTTTATTCCCAAGGTTGCCCATGTGGTACTTCTCGGGTCTCCTAAACTTCACTTTGGCTGAGCTGTAGAGCAGGACTAGGAGGTGTCTCCATTAAACACCACAGCTCTGCAGCTTTCCAGGACCAGAGTCAGGCTCTTTGGGGAAAGTTTGTAAGGATCTATTAATATGTATTTTATACATTAATAAACGTGTATGTGCATATACGTGAGACTTCATGGCTGAAGTGCCTTCTGCTGCAGGTTGGGCCTGGTGCTGTGCCACTCATTACCACAACTCTTTGATGAGAATTTGGCCGTTTCTGGTTGTTCTGAACAATCCGCTTTGCGAGCGTGCTGACGTAAATCCATATCTGGCATCAGGCTCTGATATGCTCCTGGCCAGGCCGGTGTGAGCCGAGCTGGTGGTCTAATAACAGCAGCAGTCACTCTGGAGATGCTCCGTGGATCTGTTTGGATTTTGTTTTAATAACGCTGGAGGAGCAGCTTTTGTGAAACCACTGTTTGCCTTCCTGCTGCAGAAATGGCACATCTGCAGAGTGCTGCAGGAGGGAGCAAAGAACCCAGATGCTGCTCTGTCTTCCCCTCTGCTCTGAGCCTGCTCTGTTTTGTATTCTCACTATTCCTGTCTGAATACACACACAACTGCTCCCCATGTAACCAAAATCATCACCGGTGGTGTTTGGTGTAAACTAGACTCTGAAACTGGAGGAACAAAACCATGTGCCTTTGCAGAGCTGCTTCCTGGCCTCTTCCATGCCCTCTACCCCTGCTCCCTGACCGGATCCAAAGCCTTCTGGGGGCTCAGCCTTGCGGGTTGCCAGCCCTTCCCAGGAAAAGAGCGCGCGTCGCAGGCGGCAGGTCCCGCACGCCGTTTCCAGGGTTACCTGTTTGGTGCTGATAGCGAGGCAGGAAATTAAAATGCTCCGCGATGATGATGCCTTATCGACGGCAGATGGTGGCCATTAGGTGTACGTGCGTGTCGGGGGGAGGCATCGAGGCGAGCGGAGCAGACACAGCCATTAGATTCGTGTAGTCGCTGCTGCGGGTGTTCAGCTCCGCTGCCCATGATGTAGGGCAGTCCCTGTGAGCGCCCTGCTTCCCCTTCTGGCCGTGGCTTCCTGGAGGTAACTCCAAGGAGTCAGTGTGGCTTCAGGCTCACTGGTTTGCAGAGTCCTTATCAGCCCATCTGTGCAGCTCGTTTTCTTCGTGCAGTTTTCTCCCTCCTCTCCCTCTCTCGTGCAGCTTTTCCCTCTTGTGCTTCGAAAGACTTGGTCTCTTAACTTGACACCCTTCTGCTTTTAACCTCTCTGAGCACGGTCGAGGTACCTGCAGGCTTTTTGGAGACTATGGTGACGGGCTGTAACCTCTGTCAGGGTTGCTTGGGGACTGCTAAATGTGGAAAATCAACTGAGGGTCTGTTCCGCTGAGCTCCGAGACTATCAAAGTGTCACATTATATGTTCCTTTTCTTGCTGAGATGTCTCTTCTTACTTCTGTATTTTTGGGTTTCTCCACCTCAGTTTTCTGTTCGCTCTGAGGTGCAGAATTGGGCTGGATTGTGCGTGTGCCTGCCTGCTTTGAGCTCAGGACAGCAAATGCCTCCCCAGCTTGTGGGTGCAGATCTGTGTCTGACCTGTGTGTGCCCAAACAGCTGCTGCCTGGTGTGCTTCAGGATGAAATAAGAGTGTTTTATTTGCATGCAAAGCCTCCTTGAAGACAGTGACGCTGAGGTTGAAGTGTTTGAAGCAACCACAGTGATGGCTCAGCTTTTCTCCCACCTCAGGCTCAGCTTTGCTGGCTGGCACACAACTGGAACCCCACTTTGGGATGTGCTCTCGTCCTCAGCACCGGCTTCATCAGCTCTGGTCTTAATTGTTCTTAAACTGTCAGTAATTCTGCAAAGACCAGACTTGTTTTAGCCTGAGCTCAAGTTATTATTTAAATGAAACCCACCGTGTTGACTTGTGGTGCAGCGTGCAGGGAGTCTGATGTGTGTGATCATGTGCAAACCAGCGCGTGCTTGTGACGTGACTCCTTATTTGCCTCCCATATCTGAGCCCTAAAAATCTGTAGCCCTGAGAGAGAGAGAGCCCTCCCTTGCCACAAGCTTTCTCAGGAACCCACCTTGCTTGTACACCTATTTTTTAATTTTTTTTTTTTTTAAAACGCCAATGTTTGATTTCAGATGTCCTGAATGACGCCATCTTTGACGAAGACCACGACGAGATGGTCATTGTGAAGGACATAGACATGTTCTCCTTGTGTGAGCATCACCTCGTTCCATTTGTTGGAAAGGTAAACTCTTCCTCACAAAACAAACGTGGCAATGCACAGCAAAAGACCTAAAGTGCACATGAAAGACTTGGTAGGTGTAACTACAAAGCTTTTAAGGCCCTAAGTCTTTACTGCTTAAGGCCACGGTTCTGGAAGTTAATCTTCAGAATACAAATAAGGAAGACCCTCCCCCTCCCCTTAACGTGAGTTTTTATTTGAATTTAAGCTCCTGAAATGTAACTCTCCAACCTTTCCTGCTCTAAGTAATCTAATGGTTTCTGACATTTCATATCAAAGCTCTTCTCCGTGAAGCAGCAGCGAGCCTTGGGGGCAGACATCTTGATATTAAAGCAGCTCCCCCTGCACACTGGCTCTGCCACGGATTTAGCTCCTGGCTCAGAGCTATCTCAGTGCACACTCATCCCTGAAACCCTCTGTGAGTGGAACAAACTCATTGGCAGCCCTGTCTTAATTACATGAGCCGAGCTGGGGGGAGAGGGCGGCCAAAGCTGACTGGCAGGAGGCCGCTTAATTTGGGACTCCCGTGGAAGGGGTTGGTGTTCCAGAGGGTGTCGGAATTGGGGTGCTGGCAACTTTGGAAGAGGAAAATGAAGGGGGTCTCCAGTTTAACCTCTGTAAATGTGAGGAAGAGTTCTGGGTGGGCAGTCCCTGCTGCACATCTGAGCCTCTTCATCCCTTGTCGTCATGGGAGGGTTGAGCTGGGTCTGATCCCTCTGTTGCCATTGAGTTCTCACAGGCCCAGGAACACCAAGCGCTTGTGTTGTCTATAAAACTCAGAAGTTCCAAGCAAACTGTCTTCCAAAAATTGGATACCCAAACAGAAACCAGCCATTTTAGTGGAGTTAGCTCAGTTTAATGTGCTTTCTCTTGTTAATGTCAGTATTTTACAATGGAAAACGAGGTAACTTCTTTTTCAGTGCAAGCTTTCTGTTGTGCCTGTTCATTCTTGGTTGCACCTACTGTGTATATTCTCTGTTACTCCCGTGGCAATGTGTGCATTTTTTTTTTACACCCAGCTGTTTAGCCTGTGAGGTTTGCAGAAATCTCCTCCCAGACACCAAGGGAAATTAAGAAATTTGGGGGGGGGGGGGGGGAAAGAAAAAAAAAAAAAAAGAGGGGAACAGAGTCCAATGCTTACTTCTAAGTCATGTCTCTAGCTTTATCTGAAATGTTTCATGTCTTTTCAGGTGTCAGTGGGTTGATTTACCCCGACAGAAGTGATAGGAATGAGCAAGTTAGCCAGGTAATCAGGTGCAGTGTGGTACAGGTACAGGGTTCTGAGGTGCAGCCTCCAGGCACAGTGCTAGGACAGGACCCCTCGCTGACACTCCCCTGCTGTATCTTGGCTGAGCTGTCAAGTCTCTGGTGCAGTGGCACAAATGCTGGTTGATAACCTAACTGCACACCCCCTGGAGTTCAGTAGCCTGTGTGGCTTCCCAAAAACAAGGAGCTTAATCCTTTCCCCCACCCTCATATCTGAGCATTTTTCTGCTGAACTTATTCCGACGTAGTGCAACTATCTGTTGCAGTAGGAATGTCCAGCCAATCCATATTTGAGCAGGATGGAAGCTGAGTTAATCACCAGTGATCTGTGGTATTGCTAAAACAGAAAAAAAAAAAAAAAAGAACCAGTAAGTGCAGCCTGACTTTGGTGGCAAAATACACCTTACCAGCAGAACTCTCACTGGAAGTAAAGCACAGCCCCTCTCCCTTCCTCTCCCTGAATCCATTTTGGGTCTTGAAAGAAAAGCATGTTGGTTTTGGATGGATGGTGCTGTGCTGAGCAATAGGTTGCCTTTTGCCCCCCCCCCAAAACGTAGCAGCGCTCTGTGGCATTCCTGAGACTTGGAACATGAGCCTTGACTCTTGAAGAGCTGTGATTTTTCTCCTCCCCCCCCCTCGGAAAACTCACCTGTTCTTCACCAGGACCTCACCAGGCATTCAGTCTCTGTTAACCCCACAGTTCTCCAGGCTTGCATGGTGGCACATTCCTCCCACATGCCCAAGACTCCTGGACTGCTCCAGGGGTAGTTCTGGGGCAGATGCACATCTCGTTGCCTGTGCATGAGTTTCATATCCTTTGGAGTTTGGTTTTGCTGCTGTTAATGGTTGTTCTCCTCTGTCCAGGTACACATTGGGTATCTCCCTAACAAACAAGTGCTTGGCCTCAGCAAACTTGCCAGGTAAGTGTTCCTGTAATGAAAGTGATGCTAATTTGTAAAAAGGATTCCAGGCTGTGCTAAGCATGCTAATCTCCTTAATCTGGTCTCCCCTGCAAAGCTCAGCCCACTCTTGTGTCCTGGATTTGGATTTAGACCAACCCTCAGCGTTGTTTTCTCGTGGAGAGGACAGACAAGTCCTGGAGCTGTGTGTTAGTTCACACCAGTGACTGTGCCAGGACAAAGCACTGGTGCCTGCAGGGAGCACCGAGGCAAAGGACAAGAGAATCTGGCCCTGTTCTAAGGCAGGCCACAAAAACCAAGGGAGGATCTCCAGCTATTTACTGCTTGTGTGAATATTGACAGATAAGAACGAAAATCCACAAGTTCCAAACTGCAAATGAACACACTTCATGGACATAAAGCAAATCTAAAGCTCTCATCTCTTAGCTGACCCTCTGGATAAATTTGGCATTTCTTTCTTTCACTCCAGACCTGCTGAGCGCAGTGGGGTGGATTTTTATAGATAAGGCTGAGCCTAAGAAACAAAACAACTCTGATACACTTGAGAAATCCATTTGTTATGTAAAATAGCTTTTTTTTTTTTTTTTTCTCCTCAGCAGTGCCCTTGGATTAGTTGTTGCACTGAATCTTGTTATAAAGTGGCACCTTTTTCTAGTTCTGAAGAGAAGAGGACGGTGGATCCCTCCAATAAGCAGATTATTGGGGACCAGAGTGGAAGGGTCTCTGGGGAAACAAGTCTAAAAACTTGGCTGTAGTTCAGAAAGACCACGTAGGTTTTGCTCATGCTTTCCCTGATAGGTCTGTTAATCCTGCTGTAGCTCCAACAACACTAATGAGAATTAGCCCTGTAAATCTGCGCTGCCCGCTGGGTTCTCTTAGCGGGTAAGAAATGTGGAAGAAATGACAGTAAAATGCTCTGAGGTGAGCCAGCCCCGCTCTGTGCTCTGCTTGCACAGCAGTGAGTTGGGTTTGGGAGTGGAAGGGCCCTTGGAGGTCACAGCTTCGCCCTCATGACCTCACATTGCAGGGAGGCATCTTCGTATCTTGGGCAACGCTTTTATAGGAGTGGACTTCGACTGAAAGGCTGAAATAGGTTGTCCAACATGTCCATCTTTTTTGTTCTGTGGCTGTACAGAACTGCTGGAGCTGTGGGCTGAGGCTCTGAGCTGTCAGCACTGCAGCTGGTGGGCAGAAAGTTTTGCCTTCTGTAGCCCCTCTCCCTTGGGGATGTGTCTGCCTGGCGGTTCGTCGCTGGTGTCGTGTGTGTTGGCAGCACCTTCAAGTGGTGCAGGGTGAGGTGGTTGTGGTTTTTTTTGGTTTTTTTTTTTTTTTGAGTTGGATTGCTCTAGGAATCATCCTTCCTGAAGGAGACTGTCCTTAGCACGTGGTTTCATTTCTGCAGGGCTGGAACGCAGGATTAAGGATCGCATTCCAAACGTGCATCTGTTGGTTTGGGCTTGCTCTGGTCTCCACTTACCCCTCGACTGCAGATGCAAAAAGGAGCCCAAAACAGCTTCTAGTGATCATTTTCTTTTCCAATTCAAGTGGCAACATGGTGCTAGAAGTGTGCAATTTTGCTGCTATTTGTTCTCCGTGTCGAAACCTGCATTAATACGTGCAAACCTGCATTAATGTGTGCAAACCTGCATAAATATGTTCAAACCTGCATTAATGTGTGCAAACCTGCATTTCTGCTTAAAAAGGTCAAATCCTGCCTCGTTTTCAAGGTGGGGTAGAACTCTCAAATGCTGCAGGAATGAAAAGATCAGTTTCTCGTGTAACAAAAGTGTTCTCAGTCCTTGCTCTCCAGAGCTTACCACAAAGAGGTTGGTGGGCCAAATCATGCCTCCCTTTCGTGCCCTAAATAATGCAACCAGTATTTAAGCAAAGATTTGTGAGGCTGTTGGTGCTCTAGGCCTAATCTTTCCTAATAGGATTAGTCTAATGTGGTGAGTTTCTCGAGTTGTGGATGACCTGCATTCAGTAAACAAACATCTTTCTCTGGATTTTGGGCTCAGGCTTGAAAATGCTCTTGCAAACGCCTGTTTTTACAAAAACATGCTGTTAGGACTTCTGTGCAACAACACCAGTGTAAGAATATCTGACCATCAGCAATATATATCCATATATTTCATCTAAATATCTTGCTGCTTTGTTTAGAATTGCTATAACACAACCACTTCATTGCTGGAGGGGAGTTTCTGCATTTAATTCTCTCTCCAGAGCAGCAGGAGAGTCTCATTGTCAGAGCTGTTTCTTGTAAGCAGTGCCTCGGGCTGGCAGCCAGTGTCTGGTTTGTGTCTGCTCTGACCAGACAGGGTGTCAAAGCTTGCTATAGCAACTCCTTTGGGTGGCCACTCCACGTGTAATTAAGCATTTGAGGTTGGCATGAACAACCCACGGAGTTACAAGAGCGGTTACCTGAATTTTCTTCACCGTTGTGGGTTCCAGTGGAACATCAGGAAGCGATGGTGGCGTCCCTTGCGTTGCCCACCAAATGGCTCAATCTGAAGTCGTGTTGGAGGGGAGCATCAAGGTGATCCCAGCACTGAAATGTGAAGGATGGGGTGAAATATGGGTGGAGAGCGTCTGTTTTGAATGAAACCGATCCTGCCTCATTGTTCTTAGTTATACTTGTGGTTGGGTGCAAGAATCCAAACCGTTTCTTGCCTAATTTCAGCAGCCTCCTGGGAATCCCAATATCTGAGCTGTGCTTCAGGCAGCATTTGGTTTAGACTGAAGCACAAGGAGGTGTTCTGACCCCAGTTTGAGCAGGGAGTCTTTGGGCATGGATTTCCTTGTGACTCTGCAAGGCAGGGGGGTGGTGGTACAAGGAATTCCAAAGCATCAGCCAGCACACGGAGCTCAAAGGAGAAGCAGCAAGTTTGCCCCCAAAATATAGTCCCTGGGGCTGCAGGTTGAGGGGAACCTGTCTCTAAACACAGGGATGTGCCAAGGGAAGTCCTTGAGGAATGGATTTCCAGGAAGGACACGGAGCAGTGCGCTGACAGCGTCAATTGTGGGGATAACTGTAACATTGTGCTTTCCCTTTCTCCTGCAGGATCGTGGAAATATACAGTAGAAGATTACAAGGTAAATGTGAAATTTTGGGTCTGTGGTGTGCACTCCTCTCCCAGCCAGTGCAGGGGACAGGGAACTGTAGGTGGGCTGCGTGGAGTCCAATTATCTCTGTGGAGAACAATACAAATTTCTCACTTGTCATCATATTTACCCCCTGCATTTGTAGTGAGGGGTAACATCTGCGGCAGTAGATGGAGGCAGCAACTGATTCCAAGGAAATTCCAAGGTAGAGCTGCCAGGAATAACTAAACCAGTTGGATGCTGCTGGGGATGAATTCTCCTACCGAGATTTGGAGAGATTCCTTGGAGAATTCTTGTCCAGGGCAAGGAAGCAAGAGCTTCCATGCTCCTGCTTGCTGCTCTGGAGACGGGGAGGAAGCTGCAGGATCCAAAGCCTTGGGTTGGGCTCAGCCTGCTCCCATTGTCCTGAGGTTAAATTTGGCCTGTTCTTGGCTATAGAAGACTTAGTGGCCATCAGGCTGGTGAATAGACGGTTCTAGAGCTTCAGGAAGTACAGGTTTGCAGGACAAAAGACTCTTGGCTCGCTCTTTTTTTTTTTTTTTTTTTTTTATCTCCATTTCCTTTCCTTAAAAAGAAGAATTGTGTGCATGGAACAAATCGTGTAGCAGTGAAGCTGGGAACCAAACACGTGAAAACTGAGAGAAAACAGAGAGCCAAGAAAATCTAAGTGCATAGTAGGAAATGGGAGGGCTGCTATGACAAGTCGTGGTTGTGGAATGCAAAGTGACCTCCCCAATATAAACAAGCAAATAGAAGGATCTGTTTCAGGATGCAAAACATAAAATAGGACGGACGGGGCTTGGAGCAGCCTGGCCTGGTGGGAGGTGTCCCTGCCCCTGGCGTGGGGGGGTTGGAACGAGATGGACTTTGAGGTCCCTTCCAACCCAAATTATTCTGGGATTTTTATGATTCTGAGCTCCCTGTTGTGTTTTTGGTTTTGTTTTTCAGTCCAGGAACGCCTTACCAAGCAAATTGCAATCGCCATCACAGAAGCCTTACAGCCCGCGGGGGTCGGCGTGGTCGTGGAAGCCACGTGAGTGACTCCGAGCTGCTCCGTGGTTTGTGTGTGGGCTGTGTGTGATCCCAGCTGGGTGGGATCCCTGGTTTGGGAGCCATCTGAGGTGGGATCCTGTGCAGGGATGTGGCAGCTGGCAGTGTGGAGCTGTGGTGGTTGCACTGGGTCTGTGCTCTGCCTCGGTGCGCCTTCTACGCCCTCAAGCAAGGCAGAGTTTGGGACTGGAAGCAGCAGGAGTGTCCCTGTGATCAGAATGTACCTCGGGAATGTGGGATTTTCCTGGGATCAGAGGCTGGGAATGGCTCTTTTCCATAGCTGAGGTCCTACAGGCAGATGTCCATTCTGGATGTGGAGGTTTTGTTACCTCCCCGGGGCTGAGCGTGACCGCGTAAGAAAACATCTCCCTCCGTGGGATTACTCCTTTCCCGTGAGCATTCCTGATGTCCTGACTGCCCTCTCGTTTCTCCTAGGCACATGTGCATGGTAATGCGTGGGGTGCAGAAAATGAACAGTAAAACAGTAACCAGCACAATGCTGGGGGTATTCCGGGAAGATCCAAAGACCCGCGAAGAATTCTTGACGCTCATCAGGAGCTGAAACTGTGCCACTCTCTGAACGCACCCTGGATTGCTCTGTCCCGTGTCACTGTCTGTTCTTGTTCCCACGTCCCGACCTCCCAAACTAAACCGTTGTGAATTGTTGTCATAGTCTTTGTGCGGTGAAAGACTCCCCGGTGGCAAACGGGAAAGGTGGCGAGGAAGGGCAATCCTCCTGGATTTCCAGTGGTGCCACGGAATTACGAGCCACAAACAAGGGGTTTGGAAACGCATTTCCATCCGTAGTGCAGAATGTCCCACTGCCAGGAGAGAGGTGGGGCTTGGTGGTGAAATGGATATTTATGAAATAGTTGTGTTTGTTGGAATAAATGTGGAGCAGCACGGGAAACAGCTGGAAGGCTCTGGATCCTTGTGGGATCAGGATTGTCCTGAATTATCTCTGAGTATGTTTTATTGCAAGCCCTGCAGGGGCTGTTTCAGTACCTGGGTATGTGTGTTATACCTCTGAGATGTTACCTCTGGTGTGTTTTATATTCTTGATAGTATTAACCTTCCTTTTTTTGTGTGTATTTTTTTTTGTCTGTTTGTTTGAGAAATTTAAACCCCATTTTTCCTGTCCTCTGAACACGCAGGGAATTAACTTCTGAATTATTTGGGGCACAGTCTTGTATCAGTACAAGGGGGTTCATGCACCTTTTCCTCTGTGCCTCACAACGTCTGACCACTTAAACTGTCAGCTTCCTACTGTTTTTAAGGAAACTTAAACAGAGGAGAGGAAAAAAAAAAAAACAAACAAACCCTACAGAGTCTGTTTGCAAAGTGCTAAGGTATCCAAAGAGGTTTTTAATGATACTCTTATCTTGAGCTTTCCTTCTTGGATTTCTGTGGGTTAGGTGAGAAGCCAAAACTGATCTAGTTAACCTGAAAAGGAAGATTTTGAGCATTTCAAGACTTGCATCTCATAAATATGGGACCAAAAGGTGAGCACAAAATCCCGTGCACAGCAGCCGCTACCTCCCCTGCCTGCTGCCAGGTCGGGTCATCCCAGGGCAGAGGAACCTGGAATAACTCATTTCGTAAGAGCAGCTGAGAGAGAAGCATTCCCAGGGCCATCAGAATCCACCAAACCGCGTTTTCTCCGCGGATGGGGCAACCTCTGTGATGTGGTCCAAGAAAAAAGAAAAAAAAAAAGTTTTCAGTCAGCTGGACTGGGCTGAACTTCTGCTTTGTCGCCGCTTTAATGGGCGTTTTGTGACTCTTTAAATTGGGAAAAGATGAGCAGCAAATGAGAACCACCCTTCTCACCCCGAGCAAAGGGAGGCAAAGCTTGCAAAACAAATGCCCACAGGTTCCCAGAACTCTGCTTGGCTGAATATTGATCCAAGATGTCCTGTACCCAAACCCAAAAAAGGCGGTCCCCCGCTCTGGCAAACTCCCATCTTACCAACATTCCTCCTCTCCCTTGCTCCAACCCCAAATGTTGGAAACAAAATGAAAATCATGCCTGGTCAGCTGGGCCCTAAAGAACTTTTTCGAGGAGAACAAGTTCAAGTGTTTAATTACAGTAATTTTTTACCTTGACGACCTTCACTGGTCACGTGGAGGAAAAAATCTTTTGTAACATCCTCTGTCCTGGATTCTGGAGGATTAGGTGCTGTAACAGTGTTTGTCTGCTGGTATAAACAAGCTCTGCTGCACTTTGACAGAACACACCCACTCTGTGGCATTTGTTTTCCCGAAATTGCCACTTTTCGGTTCACTATTGTTCCAACTATCCAGCTGAAAAGCCTTAAATCCTTCTTGCCTGAGGTTCAGAGTAAAACTCTCTTTTTAGCTCAACTGGAAAGAGACTTCGAGGACCAAAGGGGCACACACCAGTACATTTGTTTCTCTTTCCCTGCCTTGGTTTGGAAACTAAGTCTCTGTAAAACCCTCTTGCTCCTGAGGTACCGAAAAAGTTGCGTTTTAACCACTTATCTCCATTCGGGATAAAGTTCACGTTGCACCACTGCTGTTTTTTGTTTCCATGTGACCCCATAGCCCTTAAAAACTTTACCTCTCTCTGCTCGTGGCCTTGGATTTTGTTCCCATTTTTGCTGTTGTAAGACTGGGTATTTTTGGGGACGTTGGTGCCGTTCAAATACAGGAGCTTTAACCACCCCCCCCCCCCGGTGTGTAAATATGTATAGGACACACAGACCAGTTGTCCTGCACCCCAGTCCATTGTCTCTGAACCATTAAAGCACAGTGTTTATCCTTTGGAGTGGGAGCATCCTTGGGGACTTGGAGGTGTGGGGGCATCGTGCCAGGAGAGAGGCACAAGCTCCCCCTGCTCAGGTGGAGATTGTTCCTCCAGTTGCTTTGGGACAGGTGATTTGTCCTACCCAGAGGAAAAACTACAAAATTTGTTGTCACCTTCTTACTGTTCCCTGGAGCCACAGGAATCAACAGCAAATACAGGGGGATGGGGGAGGTGGGTGGCAGTTTTGTTTTGGGCTCCTGTGGGTGTTTAGTGGGTTTCTTGAGCCATCCTGGGTGCCTCACCACCCTGGCCTGAGGAAACACCCTCTTCCTGGCCACACATCCCAATTACCTGAACAAATAAATCCTCTCAGCAGGTGTGACAGGAGATCTCAAAGGTGAAGTCACGGTTGGGCCACCCCACGGTGCACCTTGCACAGCTTGGCCTGTGCTAGCAGGGGCTCAACAGCTCCTCCAGTGTGGGCAGGCTGTCCTAAAGACATTCCTGCTGTCCTCCAGCCTCCCAGGATGCAGATATTGCTGAGATTAAGGGGAAAAAAAACTTCTAAAATGTATGGATCCCAGACTCCTGAGGAGCACTGTGGATGTGCTCACTGTGGCAGTCAGGAATGGAGAAGGGATAATTCATTAGAGCCCCTCCAGCCCTTCATGTTGTCTTTTTATTTATTTATTTTTTTATTTTTTTTCCCCCTAAGTGGCCTGTCCTATTTGGAAATAATCCTCCTGGGAAGCCCCAGGAGCACTGGCAGGAATTGTCTTTGTTGTGAAGCTGAGTTACTTCTGCCTTTCTCACGGTTGTGTGTTAAAGCTGGTGCTTGTGGGGGGAAACTGCCTGTTTGTGAAAACAGGCACTTCTGCAAGAAATTATCCCCTGCCTCCTTTTTTTTTAAATTTTTTTTTAAATTTTTTTTTTAGGTGTGGGATTGGGAAGGAGCCTCCCTGGTTTTGTGATCATGGGAAAAAATCTGTTCTCATTGGCGTGAAAAAAAATACTCAGCTTGAAAATGTTTACAGCTGAAAAAAAACCCAAACCAAACCAAAACCAAAATGAAACAGAAGAACCAAATCTGTCAAAGAGCCTGTTAATAAGGTGGCATCTTCCCACCCCTGACCTATCACATCTCCCAGGATTCCACCTGCTCTATCAGTTGCTCCCTTCCTGTGGTACATGTTGCTTATCTACATATTTTCCTCCAGAATCCCCCACGTGAGCAGCTTCTTTGTGCTTTTTAATTATTTTTTTCTTATCACTGTGGTTGCTTTTGGGTGTCTCCCATCCTCTCTTGCCCACGGGCTGTGGAGTTGACTGGTCCATAAGGCTGGAAAAGCCCTCTAGGATCATGAAGTTAAATTGTTATCCCAGCACTGCCAAGCCCATCGTGATGGTTTTGGTTCAGGCAGCTTTTCCACGGCTGTGGACCCTCAAAACTGGCTCTTTCCAGGCAAAAATCTGCCTCTCCAGGGACTGAGAGGCTGCAGACAAGGGCTTGGATCATCCTGGAGGCTTCGTGCATCCCTCACAACCTTCCAGCATCTCCGAGTTGCTTAATGAGCTCAAGTACTCGTCACCTGCCTCCTGGTTCCTGCCCCCCTGTCCAGAGCACAATCAGCTCTGCCCTTTGAGCCTTGGCTCAGCCCCTCCTGCCCAGCTCCTGGAAACAACTTCTAGGAAAAGCTTTGCCTTCCAGTTGTTTTTAAAGTTCCACTCGTGATTTAGTAGTTGAGTTTTTTTTTTTTTTTAAAAAAATTAAAGCTCTTTTTAATAAGTCTTGGCCTGGGGGAGGGACAGAAAATAAACCATGGTTTTCAAAGAAATTTTGCTGAAATACCCAGGGAATACAACCATGAGAAATTTATGTGTGTTTTTTAAATGGTGTTTGGGCTCTGCAGGGGGCATTTTTGGCAGGGTGGGCCATACCACGTTACCTCTGTTTGCTCCTCACTGAGATTGCGACAGGAAAGCAAAGGTTAAAAAAAGCCCACCCTAAGATGAACTGCCCGGGCCTGAAGATGATTTAAAAAGTGCCAGGGCAAACCACAGGGGTGCTGCTTTGGCCTGGGATGTGCGAATGCCACCAAGGGAGCAATTCCTGGGTGGGTGCCCCACCGTCCAAACCCCCACGTGTGAGCTGGGAATGCTGAACCAGGGGCTGTGGGTGCTCCAGAATCTTCTCCACGGGGAGACCAACTGGGAAGGAAATGGGTGTTGGTGCTGGAGGAGAGAAAGAGGAGGATGGGAAAGGGTTTTGTAGGGAAGCAGCAGTGGGAGGAGGGTGGGATGGCTGGCAGGGAGTTTGCAGAGGCTCTGGCTCCGGGGGGTGATGCCCGGGGTCAGGGATGTGGAGAGGGGCTGGTCCGGCCTCGGCAGCGCCTGCCCGGGGACACACAGTCTGTGGCTCCCTCTGCTGAGCCTGGCCCCGACAGCGGAGGAACAGGAGTTTTCCTGGGGCTGGAAAAGCTTTCTAGGGAGGCTCAGGGGTCACCTGATGCCAGACCAGTGGTGTGGGAGTGGGAGAGGGGCACTCAGCCCCTCCCCTGCACCCACCAGTGCTGCCTCTCCACAGGGATGGGGTTGGAGCTGGTTTGTCCAAAAGCAGGGGCTACCTGCCCAGATGGATTTTTTTATTATTATTATTATTATTATTACTTAAAATTGGCCAAAAATCTATTTTCTATAGAAAAGTGGGAGTTCTGGCTGAGCTGTGGAACGTCTCCTCTCACCGGGCTTGGTCAGTAGGGTGTTTTCTTGGAGAAAAGAGGGAAAATCATAGAAACACAGAATGGTTCTGGTTGGAAGGGACCTTAAAGATCACCTGATTCCAACCCCTGCCATGGGGAGTTCACTATCCCAGGTTGCTCCAAGCCTTGTCCAGACTGGCCTTGGACACTTCCAGGGATGGGGCAGCCACAGCTTCTCTGTGCCAGGGCCTCCCCACCCTCACAGGGTTCTTCCCAACATCCGATCTAAATCTTTCCTCTTTTAGTTTAAAACCATTCCCCCTGCTGCCATTCGCAGATTCCAAATTAAAAGCAGCTCCCTGGAACTCCAAGGAGCAGCAATTTGTATTTCCTGGGGGCGGATCTGACACGGATCACCGGCTGGGGTGGGAGGGGGGATCAGCCCACCGGGATCATCCAGCCTCTCCCGCGCAGCCGCGGCCAACAGACGTGGGGAATTAATTATTAATTATTAAAGCCCTCTCTCTGTCTTGATTAAAAACTTTCCTGCAGTGGGAAATCCCTGCCTGCTGCCACTCAAAGGTTGTTCCCTGGGATATTCCCCTCGCTGTTAAACAGGAGACCTCTGTACCCACCCCAGGAGCCAGGGGTCAGGGCCAAGGGAACAGGAGCATCCCTTTGGAGGGCACACCTGGTTGGCTGCAGGACTGGAGTTGCTTCTCCATCACCCCTTGGAACAGGTAGACACGGAAAAAAGATCTTGTTAACAAGACAGTCTGGGGTTTTCCAGCTGCTGCTGGGATCACCACAGCCCAGCAGCTGCTGAAGCAACAGCGGGCACCAGCTCTGGCTTCGCTCCCAGTGGGGCAGGAAAAGGGGAGCCCATCCACCCCCCACCCCGGGCTGGAAGGGGCTCAGGTGGGGTGTAAATCTGGGTGCACCGGTTGGGAAAGCCTTTAGGATCTGGAATGGATTCATCCAACAGCTCCTGACAGCACAGAAATGATTATTTTTTTTTTCTTGATTTTTTGTATTTTAAGCCTCTTTCCAGCTCACCCGCTGGTGGCACCCACAGGCTCTCCATAACCACACGGCTGCCATGGACTTCCCTTGGAGCCTTTTCAGCCTCTCCAGCTCCGGTTTTCCATCCCAGAGGTTTTTTTTGCCTTTTCCTTTCCCTTTTCCATCTCTATTACTGTAACAAATCCCCACTGTGAGACCCAGATG